AGGATGGTAACTTCATCAGGAAAAGTGCTAATTTGTGAGGTCTCCCCCAATATCAGCTAACCCTGCCCCTGCTTTTCTAATTGAGAATACAGGTGCACAGGTCTGCCTCATAAAAAAGCCTGTGCTCCAACAGTTTATCATGCCGTGCCTGAAAAGAGAGAAGTTCAATCTAGGAGACAGTGAGTAAAGTAATAAGCTGATATATTCTGTGCATTGCTTTTAGCATTTAATGATTTCCATAGTAGACAGCTGTACACCAGCCATTTGGAGACGCTCTGCATTTGGCATGAGAGTTGGTATGGTCTTGAATGCCCATTTTGAATGGTTAGTGAAGCAAGAGGGAATGTGCAAGAGTGAGACAGGTATTTCCATTTCATATTTCCCTCTAGGCCTGAGCTTGTTTCTGCCTTGGGAGAAAGTTGCAAAGGAAGCTCGTATTAAAAACTGAAAAGAATACTCTTCTCAAGGAGTAGGACAGCTTTACTGTACCAGTAAGAGGAAAGCTCTTCTCTGAGAACACTCAGATGCATTGCAACTGCAAAGTGACCTTGGACGAGGGAAAAGCTGATGGCAGCAAAACATGTTACTCATGAGTGACTCAGATGTTCCAGTACTGTGCCGCAGCAGCTGTAAACAAAGGCAGGCGCTGACATATTGTTTTAAAAATCTTTCTATAAAAATATCTGTATAAAACTAATCAATATAATTTTACTGAAAACCACGAATGACACAGGATAAGGGAAGGTCACTATGAATTTTGTTTTGAAAAATTCAAATGCTCTGAATGGAGAACTTTTTTCTCTACAAAGGTATTTTTTTTTCTTTAAGGTATGCAATGAAGTGGAGCTAGAATTCATCTCAGAAATAGACACCAAAGGATATTTAAGTTTCAACAGGGAAAGAGAGGTTATCAATGGACTACAGCTAAGATCACAGGCTTCTTATCTGCAGAGAGAAAGAATGTGTGATAAGCTGTAGTACAAAACAAAATTTATTTTAGAGATAAAATATCCAAGCTCCAGGGCCCAAGACACAGCACATTTCCTTTTTACCCTCCCATCCTGCTGCAGCCTGTGATTTCACCGAACAGAGGAACTAACTGCGGTGAGTAGAGACCTAACAAGGTGATTCTCAATCTTGGTTAAAATGCAGCTTCTTGGCACACGATCTCCTCAAATACTGAAAAGGTAGGTTGGGTGGGGCTTAGGATCCGACATTGCAATAATCACCCAGAATAAATGTCTTCAGAGATGCACAAGCCAAACCACTGTCTATAGCTGTGCACACACAGCCTCACACTGTTGGTTGTCATCTGTGAATAAGTCTGTAAATCAGCTTTGTGCAACTAGCATTTGAAAAGAAGCAAGAAAAGGTCAGGAGATATTATGCAGCAGATACTTGGATTCATTCTTACGTATAAGTGTGGGTGTACCTGTGTACTGAATTTGTGAGTACAGTGTATTTCAGGCTGTTCATACGAGCTGAGAAAGTTGAAGAAGCACTATCCTAACGACACCTAGCACTACTTACCTGGACTTCCTTCACCGGTCCTCCCACCCCATATTAAGTGACAAGTCATTCTAGCTCCAACTAATTCCCACTTTGCATAAAAGTACAGTGGCTTTTCTGTTTGTTTCTAAGTATTAGGAATGACAATTAGTTTTTTGGTTTCAAGAACAAATGTAGAAAACTTGAAATAAAAGCCTGCCAAGACCCTGGTGGTGCCAAGACCATGTATCAGAAATACAGATGATAGGAATGAGTGTAAACCATCCAGAGCTAGGGACCATGCAAAGGTCTGGAGGAAGAAAGGATGGAAAGAAAAGATGGGAGGAAAATGAGTAAGCAATGCAGAGTCAACTGAGGTGCAGGAAACTGGTAGGTACGCCGATATTAATTCTTTCTGTAGGAAGATAATATTAATAACCTATCCCAGAAAATGGCATATCGTTAGCCAGCCCCACCTAGTAATGAGATGGATCCTTGCCCATTCATTCACATTCTCTTGATTCAAACTGTACAGAAAATAGTAAGATTTTGTAGCTGTTATCCTGGACATGACTAGGTCCAAACTCTTACCAAGTGGCAAACAGCCATCAGAAAGACAGCAACCAGAAAATAACACGAAGTTAGAATGTCATACTGTTTAGCCTATCCACTCTTGTCTTTGCAATTTCTTGGGAATTTCTCTACTGGATCCATTCAGAAGTTTGCCAAAGGGGCTTCATGGATGGAAAACCAGCCCTCAATCTAACTGCCAAGCTAAAGTGTTCTGGTTTTAATTATCTTCAATTAGAGGAAAAGGTACTTTCTATTTCCCTAGCCTACCTTTTCAGACCACTACACCAAGAATACTTTCCTTAAATTTGTGACAGATTTGCAGGATCTTAGAGAGAAGATAACTCAAAATTCTACTAGTAAGACACTGTGTTTTCCATAATCTCAGAAATCTTTCTGTGCTTAAAAGATACACATATGCAAAGATACAAGCGGTTAGCAAACTGCAGGGAGGTCAGTAGTTTTTCTAATATCCATTTCCCTCCCGACCACTTCAACATTGGAGGGTGCTAAGCAACAAATATTTTACATGACCAATCAGAGTAACTGAATTCACTTAAAAAAGAAGATATTTGATATCTGAGCATAAATCACTTCAGCAATTCCACCGCATCAGGCCACAGGCTCCTCTATTACATCTTCATTTAACTACATGATTTAGGGTTTTATAATTTTAGAGCACCACTTATTTTTGAATTTTTTTGGTTTAGGATTAGCTGAGAAGTAAAATGAAGCTCCATGAGAAATGCACTTATTGCCACTACTTATGACAAAGAACTGAAATAAAGTGGGAACAAAAGCATGTTGTTTATCAGATCAAGTTGGCCCATCTGTGTCTGTGATCTTGTGACCTCCCAATTCACACACTGCCACAGAAATGTTCCAGTCAGTCCATTCACTGCCATCCATTTAGCCAATAAGTAGATGACACATTTTTTTCTTTTTAACTAGATCTATTTTCTAGCAGAGCCACTTTTTAAAACCTCAGCTATAATAGCTTCCATATCCAAATCACTGTCATTATCTTTGCTAAATGCTTTCAATGCAGGGGGAATGGAGAGACAGTTGTTTTGTATTCTTGGGCCACCAGTAATTGTCCTCTGAGGATATTGCTTCATTTCAGAAGAAAAAAAAATGTCTATTATATTTGCAATTTCCTTATCCTAAAAATAGAGATAATAAACTGCTGATATGAAAAGCTACACTGAAGGCTAAAAATGTAAGTACATAGACACTTAGGCACTGAATAGGCACCGAGTACATGTTGGCATCTTTCCTTTTAGGGGCAGAAGGAGGGTGGGTTATCAAACACGGTCTTCTCTGCCAAGGCAGAAAGAAAAGAAGTAGAGAATGTAGAGTTCGCAAATATCTGAGGAAATCAGGAGAGGGACAGAGTTTTTGACACAATACAATTTGCACAAATATGTTGGAGTCTGCCATACAAGCAACAGGGAGTTCTCAAAGATTAATGGCACGTACCAATCTGTACATTAGGACATGTGACTTCAAGCAGGCATATCAGTGCAAGACAATGAATAAACAAGTTCACCTGTGGCATGGGCCAGACTGGAGTCCTCATACTAAAACATCAGGAATACCTTTGCTTTTCTGTTAGTCCACAATGTCTCCTAAGGCATGAGGGACTCCAGTTCTAGCCTCTGGTCATGTGGTGATATTTGCATTCCCTCAGTGCTGTCTTTATGATAGCACTTTGCACATCCTCTGTGTGCTTAGGATGCCTCTCCTTTCCTCCACCTTCCTCTGTATGGTCCACATCTATGTGTAGGAAATCTTTTCTGTTCTTTTCATGGTGGATAAAGGTCCACCCTCCAAACTCCGAGGCTACCCAGGCTTGTCTCTATCATTGTACTAATCCATTGTCTTCCCACTGCTTCCCAGACTGTTTCTGGTCTTGTCTTTGTTTTCTGTGTGATTGCAATGCAATTTTTTAAAGTAAACAAATGTGCATTATCTGTATTAAATAAATGGATGAATATGTGATGAAATAAAAAACCTAAGATTGGAACCTAACTTTTCAACCCTTTCTTTCATTATAGTTTTTTCCAGTGGAAATAAAAGGCTAGATTTTATAGAATGATTAGGGAAATTGATGTCTTTAAAGGAGAAAGGATAACTGGTTTTTTATTTCCTTTCAATTTTATGTCTGAGGAAGAGGAATAACCAATCTCTCTAGTTAGTAGATTATTAATTACAGGGAGAGTGTTGGTTCTTATAAAAAGTGGGGCAAGATTGTTCCTATACATTTCTTATTTATCAACAAAAAATGATAGATCTAGAACAAAACAAAACACAGGCATCTAACCACTACTACTCTCCTTGGCTCAGTGTTCTGTAAACACTGTCACTTACATATGCCAGGTGTATATGTAACTCTGCCAGAAGCTTTAGAATCCAGCTCTGAGTGAAACAGTGGCTTTATTTCATAAAGTAAGGCAACTCTCCTAGTCAGAAATGGAACACAGCCAGGTTTCACCCTGTCCTGACCAAAGACATTCAGCTAACGTCTTGAAGAGAAATTTATGTCTTTTGAATAACATAACCATCTTCAATAGGCCTATAATTCAGGATTAAGTCTACATGAAATTTCAAACTCCTTTTCACGGAAGCTATGTATATATGATGTTTAGAAAATCTTTCCTCCTTCCCCTGAAGATGGAATAATACAGTAACTCATCAAAGCCTCATGTAACACTGGAGATCAAATTTTTACATGCTTTTTGGTCATAAATACATTTTTAGTGCATACACTGCTTGAAGGCTAGTCTGCTTCCTGGGGATCATGTTTGAGAACTAAGACTGAAGATCTGCTTTCACCTCGGGGTCCTCCCCCAGCTGAGCCACAGAATCAGCTCTGTAGACTGACAGCAAAGCATTCACAACCCGCAGAATGGCTGCAGGGAAAGAGAAGAAAGCTTACTAACCTTGTGCAGCTCCACAGGAGTTGGGGACATTATCTCTTTTATTTCTTGCTTCATTTTTCTCAGGGTGACAGACTTCCTGCCCACATCAGAGGGCAGGGTGTTGCTCCGAGTTGTTTGGCTATAGTGTGGCCGCGAGCTACTCCGTTCTTGGAAGCTGGCCTGTCGCCCCAGCTGATTGCGAGGTGTTGGAGCCTCATGATTCAAACTCATAGTGCTCCCCGACATGATTGTTGCCTGTGGCATTGACAATTTTCAGAAACAATTAAGCCACAAATAAGGAAGAAGTTTGGTTGCTCAACATTAAGCACAATTCTCCTTCTGCCCAGTCAAAAACAGTCTCTTCAGAGCATAACCAAAGGCTGGAGAATGGACATACCAATTGAACTATGAAAGTCAAAAAATGTTTTGCAAGTGACATTTATAAGGGCATATCTCAAATCCAATGTAAGTATGCAAGCTCCTGAGTTTATTTAATCAAATACCACCCCTAGCAGTTTGGACACGCATTTGCTTACTGCAACTACTTTAAGCATTAACTTTTTACTGAGTGGCCTCTAACCAATCAGACTAATGAGGCCATGTTCAATACATATTACAGAAATGAGTAAAGAACTTTTCAATAGAGATCAGGTTGCCTGTGTTTGTAGCGCTTCCTCTGTCTCCAACTGGAGCTAAAAGTGGGTTAGACTGGAATTGCTGATACAAAGGCAAGCGACTCGAAGTTTCTTGCTTCCTATAGGGTCTTCTCTATGGCTGAGTGACCTGCCTGCAAGTTTGTAGAGCAAGTAAATTCCCATTTCTTTTGGTGTGAACTAGTGTTTCTTAAAAAGGGTCTTTGCATAAGACCTTCAGAGAGGTTCAAAAATAATTATGTCTTATGTGATCGGATTCAATCCTTTATCAAAAGTTATGAGGTTCAGATTGGATTTCATCAGTGAATTGGGAAGTCTGTTCAGTTTCAAATATATTTCCTGCATAATATATAAGAAACAGTAAGATTAGATCCCAAAGATGATTGAATCTCAGAAATGGAACCAAAGAGGATTTGAAAACATTATGTAGGAGATGTTCATTTCTTATGTTAGAAGATGCTAAGATTCTAAAACCATGACAATAACCTACTCTGATATGATGGTTACATAAAGGTAAACTAGCATTGGTAAATCTTCCTGAAACAACGGGAACAGAAAATATGTTTCATATGCACATATGCACGTGACTGACTAAACCATGATTTACTTGCTTATTGTTATAGCAATGCTAAAAGTAATACAGTTGAATTTGTTGAATCCTTTGAATGTATTCACTCATTTAATCTTCACAGTTCTATGAGGTAGGCATTCTTACAGTTTAGGAGACTGAGACAAAAGATCCAGACTTGAGTCATAACTGAGTATAGGGCTCTCTCTACAATGATTAAAAGGAAATTAATAATGCTGCAAAGTGAGCAATATTTCCATTTGTCATCTTCAAGATATTGTAATTCCAAAATTCATCCAATGCTCAGCCATACATGCATTACTAATAATTTTTTTGAGTAATAACCAAGTATTGTTTCACATTTACCCATATCTAACAACTGTTGAAAGAAACAAAAGAAAACTTACTAGTATTGACTAGGTTTGTCCTCACTGATAATTTTGAAAAAGAAGATTGTAGCTATAAAAGAAAACACATTCTATGCTCTGTATATACAGTGTGTATGGAATATCATCTAACACTTCACCATACGTGGTGGATATTATAATTATTATACTTATCAATTGTTCAAGTAATGATAGAGATGCCTGAGAGAGTTTGGTAATCTGTCCAAGAACTTGGCTTCATGTCATCTCAGTCCAATATTGACTGAATCATCTAAAATTTCTTTTTGTAGGTAATAAGGTCTCTGTTTGGTACACACATGTAGGTATTCATAGTATGGTTTATTTCAGATAGATTGTAAGTTTATCAAGACCTTTCTGTTGCCACCTGTACTGGTGTTGTAGGACATCTTGTATTTAATGGCATTTACATGTATCATTTCTATGCTTAGTCTACACCACAACTGATAGCACCCAGTGATTGTTTTCCTGTTGTGGTGACCATTCATTTATTACTTTTTCCTATTTAGACTAGTTACCTGCTTTTGTTCACATTTTTAAAAAACATTTGTTTTCATGGAACCAGTTGGAAAAATGTCAGAAGTAAAACACTTAATCACTACAGCAGGGAGATGACAGTCTTGCTTTGATGAGTCCCAGCTGCCACAGAACAAGTTACAAGTGGATTTACAAAGCCCATCGATGGAAGAAATGAGATATTATCAATAGTCACTTAGTGTAAGTTTTAAAACATAGGTTGACTGCTTTGTTTAAAGTGAACTTTATATGAATTAGCAACATCTAAAAAAGAATATAAAAATTAAAGCACAAATATAATTTAGGCTCTGACAGTTAAATCTTCTTCCTTTATTATATTAAACAAAATAATTAAGTCAGTGTTTATTAATCAAGAAATGGCAAACATAATAATAGCCAATTTTTACTGAACACTTTAGTGAAATTTATTAAGTGCCATGTTCTTATTTAATTGCCATACAAATATTAATTCATAGAAGAAATATCTGGTAAGAGAGGTTAAAAACTTGTTCTAAGTCTTGGTTTTAATTTTCTCCTTTGTTAAAGCTACACATTTTTTCAGTTCTGAAGTTGAATCTATATATTGCTAGGGAATAAGGAAAATGATTAATAAATTAATTTTCACTTCAATTGTAATCATTTTTCATCTTGGCTAATCTACATTTATAAGTGTTATAGTAGCTCTAACTTTTAATATTGGATATAAATTTCATGGGTGAGAATCTAGTTCCAATAATATTTTTTGCCTAACAGTATTTCTAATCAAGGGAATGGAGTTCATTTAAACTAATAAATGAATATTCTTTGTGATTAAAATACAAATGTCACTCTATGAATTTGCCGATCATTTGTCCTACCTGAAGATTTAATTTCTCTTGGCCTATGAACTCAGTCCATTTCCTCTCCACATTTATAATTTTAAGAGTCACGCTTGCATGGAGTTATGATAGAGCAAATTTATAGGATGTCATAGCGAATTTCTAAGCTACTACGTTTTCATGAGATAACTCACTTTCCAAATGAAAATGCAGTTTTATCATATTATTTTTCTTTTCTGTACCTGGTATTGAACCCAGGGCTTCATGCATAGGCAAGTGCTTTACCACTGAGCGCATCCCTTTTTAAAAATTTTATTTTGAGACAAGATCTCAAGCTGGACTCAAACTTGCAATATTCCTGCCTTAGCTGGCATCTGAACATCTGAGATTATAAATTTGTGCCACTGTGTCCAGTTCATGCTATTTTTTGCCTAATGTAAAAGAAGACATGAAAAGAATGGTTTGTTCTTCAAAGGTAAGTATCAAAATGCAAAAGACATGTGAGCCAAAACATGCTTTCAAAAACAAAGATATAACCAAGAATTGTGAATTAGGCTCACAGTTCAGTTTGGGCCACTCTTACTCTGCTTAATGGGAGGTGGTAAAAGTTTAAATAAATCAGCTTTTACTTAAGATTCTGCTTTTTTTGAAAGTTGTATAAAAAGGAATCAATTGCTAACATCTTAATTTGTCTATAGGATTTTATAGGATTATCCACGCCTTTAACTATGCTCTGAAGCTAAAATTCATGCCAGGTAATATTATGATGTTCATAAATTCAAACTAATGTTTTTCTTTAGAACTGTCTTTGCAGATTCACAAACATTAAATTCACATAAGATATCCACACATGCAACCGAGAAGCAAAACAATATAACGATGAATAATCAGTTTAGAATTGCAAGAGTTTCACCCAGTTATGCCATTCACATTCCTTATGGTGACTTGGGGACCTCATATGACATCAAAATAAAAATGAGACTTTTGCCACTTTACTTTTTACAGCTCAGAAAATTTAAAAGAACATAAAAGGAAATAGTCTAGGACTTCCCAGACTAAAGTGTGAATACTGTCAGCAAATTCATCTCTTTGATTAAAGAATTCATCAGGAGTTCAGCTCTTCCATTCAATCTTACTTGTCCTTGAATTCACATGAAGTTAATACAGAATCATGATTTGTAATTCATAGGAAGGTACTAGGCAACGTTTTGCCTGCTTATCAAAGAGACCGGCCTTTTTCACCAGCAGCATTGTCATCTACTTTAAAGGCAAAATAAAATAAAAGTAAAATTTCCTCTTATGTTCCTCTTAAGAATCAAATTAATTTCTATACCAGGTAAAATGAAAACATGCCAAAGAAACCTTTCTAAAGCAACTAAGAGGATGAGATGCGCCACTGCTGGGAGACTTAGCTCACTCCTTAGCGCTTTGGTGGGAGACAGAACAGTCAGGGTTAGCGGGAGCCACAAGTCAGTAAGCTTGGGGTGGGAATGGGGAGTAATACTTTCAACGGCATTGGATAAAATCAAATTGCTGTCCAGAAGGCAAGGGGTAGGGAAGGCAGCTTCACAAGCAAAAATATAAACATAAAGGGTAGCTACCAAGAGAGTCATGTTTCTCAAAGACACACGCCTGTCAGCTTTCTCCTGTGGAAAGGGGTTAAAGCTTTTAAATGAACTGGTGTGATCAATGCAAACTTAAAAGGACCAAAAAAAAAAAAAATGAATGTAGAAACAGGAAAAGTAAGCAATGGAATGGTGGCTACCTCAAGTTCTCGCAGAATTCCTGACTGTCCACAGGTTTCCAAATCCTCCAGCGCCTGAGACCAGAAATTCTCCTCTTGCTCGGCCTCTGCACTGTCTGAAGTTCCTGCAAAACTGTCATCAAGAACACAATCTAGGTTAAGGATTTGCCAAATGTAATCACCCGCTGTATTCAGAATCTATCTCTCTCCTTCATTTTCTAAAAAGAAGAGGAAGAGATTCATTTTGGATCTGTCTTTCATCCACATGTGGTCTCCAAGTAAAGCCAGCTCCAAGATCCTTTGGGAAATGCAGGGTGTCATGAGGAAAGGAAGGTCTATCCACTGTTCTACTGACTCCATTTCAGGCTATTCATGACTACTGATAGATGAGCTGCATCGAAATGGCTGTTTCGATGGAATGTAACAAGAAAATACATCTCAGCTGTGCAACAGCAGGGAACTATAAATCTCTTAGAGAAAAATGTTTTCCCCACTTGTTACAAAGAATATTATAAATACATTAAGTGTTGCCACTTTTTATCAGTTTCCTTATAATATATGAAGAACAAAATGCTTAAATATATTTCTTTATTAAAATTCTGGGATTCTTGATGCATTTAAAAAAATAGCATGGAACTTAATGTGGAATTGCCTTTCAAAGGCAAGCAGAAGAAGTGAGCACTTTCTCCCCAGAGCTACCACTGTCACATTAGGGGAAACTTGGCTCATTACTGTTGTGAGGTGGTACCAGACTATCACTAGTCATACATAATCACCTTGGGTGATTATGGTGGCTTCAAGAACCATGCCAAATATATGTACCACTGGAAGCAGAGAAGTTCAAATCTTGCCCAGATGATGATAAAGTCACCTTGGACAGGGCAGCAGCAGATGGAAACCTTACCCACTGGCTGTAGACCGGTCCCAGTCTTCATTACTCAGCCCTACATCTGGGTAAGTCTGGCTTCGTGGCTTGGGGACTGGGGACAAGCTGCCCCTCTGTTTTGGACTCCTCCAGTCATAGGTATTGAAATTGTATCCTGGAGCCTGAAAACTGGTGCCTAAAACATAAACAAAGTGTTAGGACTGGGCTTGAAGATTATGTCATCCATTGAGAAGTAACATTGTTGGCTGGTAGAGGGATCAAATAACAACAGCATCAACAACAAAAGAGTGAACATGCATGAGGTGGGTGTTTATAATGTACCAGGATTTTACTAAATGCTGCACCATCTATTTATGCATCACAACTAACTCTGAAAGTAGGTGCAGTTACCATTTACAGTTTACAGATGACGCTAAAGACTTGGGGCAGTGGTTCCAATACCTAAGGCTATTTTCAGACTTTCCTTGGGGTTCAGATTATACTTGAAGAGTCAGTTTTTAGATCCTCAAATTCCATATGCACTTAGACTCCAGAATGATGCAACTGACACAGGGCCAGGGGCTGAGATCTGTCAACCTCCCTCTCACTTTCCATTTCACAATTGCATTCTTGTCACGTTACAAGTGAAAGACACATTTCTCATCCATGTCAAACCTTTAATGTGCTCGACCCTGCAGTACATAAAGTTTCCACTGCCAGATCAAGGGATAACTTGGGAAAGCCTTGCTCCTATGAGAAAGTCTCTAAGAAAAGGGACTTAATTTCAACCACGCAAACATATGACAAAGTCTCCTCCCTCTCTTTCCAGAAGTAAGAAGGATGCATCAGAGCAAGGAGGTCGACGTATTATTACTTTTATTTCAATTTCAAAATGAAGACTTGCTTTTTTCTGAAGGAGAGTAAAGTCTGATTAGCTTGATGGGTGAAACAGTCAGAAATGGTTTTGGCAATTAGGTTACATAATGAACATTTTCTATGCGCTTACACTAAATCTATGGCACCAAGACTTGGACAAAAGTATGTATAAGGTATATTTCAAAAAAGTAGAAATTACATTCTTTGCAAGTATTTACATTTGAAAAGAAAAAATTAGGAAACAACTTTAGATATGTGATAGGCTATGTAATTTTTCAAAATTTGGGGGCTCAAGAGGGAGAACAGAGGTTTGGTTATAAGTCTGATTCTATAGCTTGCACTGTGACCATCTCATATTGCTTCATCCACCCCAGAAGGTGGTGATGGATGCATGTGTGTTTATATATATGAGGTGAACTGCAATACAGTGAATATTTCTTACTATGTTTAAAGCACTTGCTACGGCAAATGGGCTTGCGTTCTCATTTTCAGATATAATTAAAAAGCCTGATCACATAAGATGACTCTGTCTCCATGACATCTTTCCCATTTCTGGTTCATCTTTCCCATTTAGTGTTTTCCACTTGTCATTGGACCTTTTGATAATGCCATCCTGGCTACTAGTTAGATCTCAGGGAAAACAGGCATTCCAAAGGATAATGCTCTCTAATGTGAACAATTCAATCTCAGGAATCAGGACAAGGCCACCACCACATGATGAAAATACTCTATGAACTTTCTGTTTTGGGATATCAAGGAGTAGATGCTCTTGGGGGCAGAGCAAACACTTGCAGTTCAACAGCTCATTCTCTTTTCCTCAGATAACTGCAGGAGAATAATTAGCCACGTGAGAAGAAGTCTTCTGGGATGAATGTGCAATTTTCTGTCAGAAGTGTTGAATTCAGGAAATATACATGAACCGTCTCTTGCAAGGGAGTGACTGCATAACATTAGATTAGCCTGGCTTTCTTTGATGTGCTATTGATTTTCTCCTTCCAAACCAAACTGAGCAACTCCAAATATGCAAAGCCTCATTTCTTCTGATACAAAAAATAAAAAAATAAATAAATAAAAAATAAAGGAAGTTGATACTTCACTTGGCTTTAACCTCTTTTTGTTTGTTTTTTGAGACACAGTCTCCTTGTCTGGTCCAAAGTGGCCTCAAACTTGCAGTAATCCTCTTGCCTCAGCCTCCCAGCTACTGGGGTTGCAGCCATGTGCCATCACATCTGGCTCCCACACTTTTTGAAAGCCAGACGTTCATTGGTGGTGTCCTTCTGGGTGGATATCCTTTTCTGATAACCCTTAACCTGTATGACCATCAAAATCCCTGGGATAATTTAAATATGATTTAGACCAGGCAGATTAATTTTTAAATTTTCTTCCTAACCATTGTGTCCCAGTAGTTCTTGGTGATTTAGGGAAGAGTCTAAGAGTAGGACTAAGCAGATGTGCACCATCATTACTAGGAAGATGCTGACCTTAGAAGGCAAGTGTATTCATAACAAGGATAAGTGGTCTTAAGAAGTACTATAAAATGATTACAGCATTACCACCAAGCAGAGGAAGAAAAGGGGATAAGATTCAAAACTTTGCTAAGATGTAAATGTATTATTCTTTCAGGAGTAAGCATGTATTTATTTTAGTTCAGTTAAAACAAACATAGTTTCATTGAAACAGTGTAGAAACAAATTAAATTCAGATATTTTAATTCATAGAGAACTCCACTTTCTATTTCTTAACAGATTTAGATTTGATAAAAGAAAGGGCGGATTAATATATTCAAGCACCCAATGCCATGAAGGTACCAAGGACCAATGCTTTCTCAGAAAATAGTGAGTGAGCAGTTTATGGTATATGGAGTCAAGGATGCAGCACGGAAGACTAGAATACAAAGGACCCTGTATTTCTTTTTACTTTTTAGTTTTTAGTTTTACAAGGTCTCACTAGGTTCCAGTGGGCCTTGAACTCACTTGTGTAGCCCACTCCGGCCACATACTCATGGTGATTCTCTTGCTTCAGTTTCCGGAGTGCTGGAGGTGTGTGCCACCATGCCCAACAGGGCCTTGTATTTCAAACTAGGGCCCTATCACTTATCCTGTAAAAATGGAGAGCCAGCAAAAGAGGTTTCTTCGAAGTATTATGAAAAATAAACTGTCAGAAATGTAATTAAACTTTGTTTCTGTTGAATGGCAACAAACACATGAAATTCTATGTATGGCACTGAAAACCACATTTTCAATTAAAACTGAAAAACAAATTTTTGAAAACATTATTTTTAAAAAAACATATGTCCAAAGTAATTTCTTTGCACTAGAACTGAAAATTTTTTACCTTCTTCTTTGTTTTGTTCTTTACTTTAATATCTGGTTGTGTATCTTGTGCCATAGTGTGAAATAATGATTGATTTTATTTATTTAGGATAATGGAGAGTTTATCTTCACAATATAAGTGATGTTTTGTTTTTAAATTTTATTTTAAAGAGAAAAAATAAAACAAAATTTCAAAGCCCAGCAATTAGAGGGTAACAATGGGTAATACATTGTATATTGTTATCTTTAAATTAGTTAGAGTACAAGATATCTGCATTTAATTGTCCCAACAACATTAGCACAAACCTTTCTTTTCAATGAACTGAGACATTAGTAGTATAACTATCTTAACTATCTATACATGCATATATTTTTCTTTAGCTTCTCACATTAGGGAGACAATACGATATTTACACAAGTGAGTCTGATTTATTTCAAGTATGAGTATGGCCTCTAGTTGCATCTATTTACTTAGAGAAATCTTAAGTTTATCCTTCTTTATGGCTTAAGTAATTCACTGTATAAAAATATCACATATTTTTTATCCATTCTTTGGTTGATGGGAATTAAGGTTGTTTACAAGATCTAGCTCTTACATAGAATATTGCTATAAACAGGGTGCACATATTTCATTGTGGTATGATGTTTTTAATACTTCTGGGAAGATACCCAGAGGGAAAATAGCTTGGACAAATGGGACCTCCAATTTAGTTTTCTGAGGAATCTTCACACTGATTTCCACAGTGGTTGTACCAGTCTACACTGTCACCAGTAGTGGAGAAGGGTTCCTTTTTCCCTACAGCCTTGCCAGCTTGTGTTACTGGTTGATTTTTTGATGAAAATCATTTCTTATGGAGTGAGATGGCATCTCAGCATTATTTTAATTTGCATCTCTCTGACATCCAGTGATGTTGGGTATATCTTCATTTTTATATTTGCTGTTTTTATTTCTTCATCTGAGAAGTGTGTATTCATTTGTATTTCTTCAACTGAGAAGTATGTATTCATCTCAGATGCCCATTTTTGGATTGAGTCTTTAAATTTAGGAGGTCTGATTTTTTTGAGTTCTTTATATGTTCTTGATAGTAATTCTTTGTCAGAAGAACAGCTGGCAAACATTTTTTTCTCACATTGTGAGTTGTCTCCTCATTCTGCTGGTACTTTCTTTTGCTGTGCAAAGGTTTTTTTAGTAAGATGAGATTCCAGTTAATCTTCCAGTTGATTCTTTGTGATAGTTCTTTGAAATAGGGGTTTTATTCATAAAGTCTCACCTAATCAATGTCTTCGGGAGTTTTACCTATTCTATCTTTCAGCATATTTATTGTTTCTATTTTAATATTTAGCACTTTCATTCATTTTGAATTTAATTTAGTGCATGGTGAAAGACTTGGTTCCAATTTTAATCACAGATGTGCAGAGCCAATTTTTGCAGCACCAATTATGAAAGAGGTTATCTTTCTTCTGGTGAATTCTGGTCAGGGCCTGTGATTTTCTTTGATGGTAGGATTTTAATTACACCTTTGATTAAATTGATTGATACTAGTTTATTTAGGATACTGGTCCATTAAGATTTTATATCTTTTTGACTCAGCTTTGGTAATATACATGTATCTAGAAATATATCCATTTCTTCTGCATTTTCCATCTTACTAAAATACAAATTTTCAAAGTAGTTAGACGATTTTTTGGATTTCTGAAGGGTCCATGGTGATTTTACTTTTTTCCTTTCTAACTGTATGGATTTGAGTTTTTTCTTCCCCTTTTTTGATAAATTTGGATAAAAGTTTGTTGGTTTCATTTCATCTTTCAAAGAACGAGTTCCTTGATTCATTGATTTTTGTATTGCTTTTTTAGTCTCCAATGCATTAATTTCTGCTTGATCTTCATAATTTGCTCCCTTTTATTAGTTTTACACTTAGGCTGCTCTTCTTCTTCCATAAGTTTGAGGTTCGACATTAAGTTGTTTATATGTACTTGCTCTGTTTTCCTCACATGAGTATTTACTGCT